AAAAAAAACTGGTCAATGAGCGCAGCAGTGTTTCCTGACAAGATTGCTAGATGTGCTCCTCAGTGGGATGGCAATAAAAATATGAGTAAATTCATACATTCATACATGTACGTTTTGTAGTCCAATCAAAGCTCTAGAAACCACACGTTATTTCAAATCTACTGTCTTCCTATCCAACCATAATCAATTCATTTCCTTTCTGTTTTATTACTCTTCTCAAATATACCTATTTTCCCATCCATAGAGTTTTGCTGGCTGTTTTGGTAATCCCCTATCTGAACTACTTACAGTCTAACAGCTAATTTTTCTCCACTTACTCAATCTCAATGGCACTACTATAGTCATCTAAAAGGACTCTAACTTGCCTACAAATCTCCAAAGGTTCTATATTAACATACTAAAATCTCCTAACTCCTTAGCATGACAAACAGGGGTCTCTATAAGTGATTTCAAGTATCATTTCCCATGTACTTTATGTTCAAGGCATATGGTTCTTCCAAACAATTCCTCATAAAACCATTCCTCTTTTAGAAGTTCTCCTCTTAAAGTTTTGTAATTACTTTGTATATTTTTCTATTTTAGCACTTTAAATTTACACTGTCAATACTTAAATGCTAGTCTGCCTTGCTACTTATGTGTGCTAAGTGAATAAATGGATTTTTTTATTAAACAAAAAAACTGAAAGCCTAAAGTGTGATACGAAATGAATGAGGGAAAAATAAATGCAAACTGTTCTTTATGGTTTTTTATTACAAAGAATTTTTACAACTCAATACTTTTCTAAACAAACTTGAATTTCAGAAATCAAACTGCTGCTTCCATGTGACTGTACCTGATTGACTTGATTTTTAAGGGAAAAAAATATATATATAAAATCATGGTAAAATTCTAGCAAGAGTCCCTTCCACTTGTGGAGGTATGAAAGAAATGGAATCAACTACTAATGGTCTTATAAAGCCACACTTTTCCTTATCGTTTTCAACCACACTTTTAATAAAAAGGTCATAAAATAACAGTTTCTCATCACTGTATCGAACAGGAGTGAGAGTCAGGGTCCCCACTGCACTTCCTAGGAAGGACATGATGTCTCTTCCAGCTCTAATTAAACAGAACCATTATAATCACTCCTGCCCATGGAGATAGTTATAGATAGCTCTGAGCCCAACATGGCCCCCTGAAGAGGGGAGGTAC